CAGCAGTGTGAAAATTTGACAAGCTCATTTGAAACTATGATTCCTAAGTAACTAACTTGATTGCATGACCAAGAACAAATAACTGGCTAAGTGTCTTAAGTTAAATGCTTAGAATGATATCCCAACTTTTGATGAGAACTTTTGTTGAAAAACTAGTTGGCAAATCTGAAGCTAAGAAGAATTCTAATGCCTGATTTGCAGTCAAGAGAATTCTTTATTAATGCCCTGGCCTTCCTCTCCTCCAATTTTTCTTTTAAGCACACACACAAAAAGCAAATTATATGCTCTAGGGAAAGAATCAACTTGTATTACACAAATGGAGATTTTAGCTTGGACTCAGTGGTCTTTACATATGGTTTACCGTGCATTAAAAGAATATGCAAACCCTGAAGGTATCCTTGGTAGTCAACTTGAGTCCTGTAAGTGTCCCTTCACACCCATCCAGACCTCGATCTGGAGCTAATTTCCAACAGGAATGCAATATGACTCCAGCAGGAGCGTGAAAAATGGTGAAGTCTGGGCCGGGAAAACCAACTACGACAAAGTGCCTTCCGCGCCTGCAGAGCCTAGGTTAAGAGTCACCTTTTCTCCAGCGGACTCCCAAAGAGTCCAACAAATGGGGGAGGGAGGGGGAGGAAGGCGGAGGGCGGGAAGTGGAGTGGATTCACCCCGTAACCTGCCTCCACACGCGCCTACTTTTCGTTGCACCCTCAGCCCTCTAAGAGCCTTCGACTCAAACGTTCCGACTACAAATTATCTGCGTTCCCCTCCCTAAAGGGCTATCAAATTGGGCGGGAGCTCCCGCGAACTCTGACCTGGCGCCTTCGCGAAGGCTTCGGACCTGGGGGGAGGACAGAGCCCGCTTCCTCAAAAGAAGCCGCTAAACACCCCCGGTTGCCCTCCTCCTGCAAGACGCTCTTCTGGAACGTACCCCCAAACAGTACGCTCCGGGCCCTCCCTCCGCCAGTCACCTCGGGCTTCCCGCCGGCCTCCCCCTAGGGACTTCCTCCTCGGGGCTCCGCTAGGCCCCAGGACCCGGCGGCAAGCGCGGGGCTTGGCCCGCAGGCCCCGCCAGGCGGGCGGCAAGGTACCGCTTCGGCCCATTTCCGACGCCATTTTCCGGCCGCCGCCGCCGCGTAGGGGGGACGATCCCGGAGGAGGAGACTGCGCAGGGGCGCACCGGTCGCCGTGGGGAGCGTCCGCCGGCACCGGGGATCCTCAGTGTCTCCGAGGCCTCCCTTCGTGGGCTACCCTGTTCCGAGTTTAGACCTCCTCCCGGGTCTTACCGAGAAGCCCCTCCACCTCACCCCAGATCCCCGCGCTTCTACTTACGCGGAAGAATCCCGCGTCCATCTTGCTGCCTCGCTCGGAGATCGCTCCCTATCCCAGGGTGCACCGCGCCGCCGCGACGGAGGGCGGGACCGGCGGAGGGGAGCAGAACGCCGGGACGCAGCGCGTGCCGCTGCACCCGCCTCCTCCAGCCAACACGAAGCCGCGCCTGCTCAGTGCGCCGAGGGCACGCCACGCCTGCGCACGCGCACCAGATGGGGCCCTCTTCTGCCCGGCCGAGGCTTCTTAGCAGCCAATGGGGGAGGCGAGCTCGACGACTGTAGCCAATGGGAGAAGGAGGGAGAGTGCTTGCATCGCCGGGCCTCGCGAATCCTTTTGTGGCGCGTGACCCAGCCTTGTTCGGGTAATGTGACTTGACCCATTCTTCGACCCGTAGTGGGGACGGAGGTCTCCCGCCCTTAGGGCTCCATGAAGCGTTTGAAGAGAAAGGCTGTTATCTCAGAGTGACGCTGGTGAGGCGGCCCGTGCGCAAGCGAGAAGCCTGCGGCCTCCCCTGTCATTGTGAAAGTGACTTGTGCGGGTTTTACGACTTCACCAGTTCGCTGTAAAATGGTCGCGCGGTGTACACTTGGCATCTGCACTCCAGCCCCGTCTCTGTTGGGCCTTGGGAGGAGCCGGGACCGTCCATTAGTTGAGTTTCGGTTTCGGCCGCCGGGTATCCACGCGGGAGGGCAGGCAGCCGCGGCGGCTCCCTGCCGCCCGCCGGGCGCCCGCAGCCTCCCTGTCCTCCCTGTGCTGACGACATCTGCCCTCAGCCCTGAGTGCAGACGCTGCGGGCACCGCCCGGTCGGCCTGTCCATGAGCTCCGATAGACATCGCAAGCCCGCAGCCCAGGCCACGCTCCCGCCCGCCTCGGGTCCGGTGGCAGGGTCTTTGCTTCTGTCACCTTGGCCTTGGGGTCATTCTCGACTCCTCCTCCTTCCCTTTGCCTCCCACTTCCAAACCGCCCCACTTCGCTCTTGGAGGCTCAGGGTCCCGTCTTTGGCCTGCGCATCTGCACAGGCCTCTAACGGGTCCCCCCTCAGCGGGAGGCTGCCTGTCCCCACAGCGGTCCTCGCCTTGGGGTCAGGGCAGGGATCCTGGTGTTGGACCCAGGGCTGCTCTACCGCTAAACCACGTCCCCAACCCTTTGGTTCTTTTATTTTGAGACTGGGTCTTGCCCCGTTGCACAGGCTGGCCTTGAACTTGTGATCCTCCTGTCCCAGCCTGCCAGTGTGCTGGGATTACAGGTGCTGTCCTGCCTTCGAAACTTTATTGTCTGTTCCCTGCACTGGAATGTAAGCTTCTAGTCGGGGCCTCTTCTGTTTTTCACTCATGTGGCCCCTCCACCCCTCACACACACCAGAACCAAACCAGTGGCACATAGTAAAAGCTCAATAAAACTGTTGAGTGAAAGCTTCGGAAGTTAGTGGCCTCCGCAGAACATGACCAGATGGAACTATGAAATCGTAATGCTCCATATCTCACTGTTCTCCGTGTTCTGATTAGCCATTCTGTTTTGACCTTTTACTGTTCCTGCCCTGCAGCTGCCAGTCCTGTTAATATTGCTTTCCTTTAGGTTCCCCCCACCCCGTGGTACCAGGAATGGAACCCAGTGCCCTTGTCTTAGTGAAGCCACATCCCCAGCCCTTTTTATCTTAGAGACAGTGTCTCTCTAAATTGCCTAGGGCCTCATTGAATTGCTGAGGCTGGCTTAAAATTTGACTCTTCCTGCCTCAGCCTCCTGAGTCATTGGGGTTAACAGGTGTGCACCAAGCTGCCTGGCTCTTTTAGATTTTGTCATTGAACCCTTTCTTTCCCTGACAAAAGTTGATATGCACCTCTACTTTTGGTTTCATTTCTCCTTCATATTCTAGATCTATGTATATCAGGCACAGGTCTGTCCCAGACCAATATTTTCAACTTCCTGCTGATATCCCCACTTGGATGTCTTATAGGCATGTCAGACTCAACGTGTGTCACACTGAATTCGTTTCCATCCACTTGCCCTCAGCATTTTTGCTTGTTCTTAATGAATGAAGCCACCTTTTTCTCCCTGTCACTGTTCTCTTCACCTTCCACAACCACTAAATCTTGTCTTTTTTTTTTCTCTTTTAAAAAAATTATTTTTTTTTAGTTATGGATGAAAACAACACGTTTATTTTATTTACTTTTTTAATGTGGTTCTGAGGCTTGAACCCAGTGCCACACATGTGCTAGGCAAGCTCTACCACTGAGCTACAACCCCAGCCCTTTTTATGAATGCTTTTTTTGTTTTGGTTTGGTTTTTGGTACTGGGGATTTAACCCAAAAACACTTTATTATTGGTTCTTTTTATTTGAACTCCAGCCCTGTTACTTTTTATTTTGAAACAGGGCCTTGCTAAATTGCTTAGGGCCTGCCAAAATTGCTGAGGTTGGTTTCAAACTTGCAATCCTTCTAAGCCTCCCAAATTGCTAGGATCACAGGCATCACCATGCCTGATTCCTAATACTCAATAGCTGGTGAATCTGGCAATTTCATGGTAGTTCATGTGCCTCTTTCCTTTTGGCCTTTTGTATCTTTGCCATATCAGTTGATGCCTTGCTTTATATCCCCAATGCTTTTCTAAGATGATTATATTTTTATTTATTTATAATAAATCCTTGAACCCAGGGGTGCTTAACCATTGAGCCACATCTACAGCCTTATTTTTTAAAATTTGAGGCAGGTCACAGAAGAAGAGATGTCTCCAGAGAAGGGTCCAAGGAACTCCCAGAGGAGAGGGACCAGTGGGGTTCTTGGCATACATGAAGGAAATGAATGTCAGCAAGAGCCAGAGACACCGAGGTCTCTATCTGGAAGATACACATGCAAGGGAGAAAGTGGGCTGCCTTTTGACTTGGGCTGAGGGTCCAATATTTATAGAAGGGCTGTAACAGGGGCTGGACTAGAGGTAGATTCAGGATGGAGCTGCAATTTCCTGTCAATTTTCATGCCCCTGCATATTTCCCTCATTTTATAAGGGCCTGGGCCAAGGCTTGGAACTGTTTTCTGCATCTCAATGGCTTGATTCTGCATTTCAAAGGCTTGAGGGTATTTCCCTTAAGATTTTGTATTCCTCTCTGCTTTTCCTATCTCAATCTTACTAAATTTTTTGTTGAGGCTGGTTTTGAACTTGCAATCCTGCCACCTCAGCCTTTCCAATCACTGGGATTACAGGGATACATTACCACACCCAGCCTAAAAGATTAGGTTGATCCTGTCACTTTCCAATTTAAAACCCTCCAGTGGCTCCCCTAGTCCTCTAGGTAAAGCCCAAACTAGTTGCTGCAACCTGGAAAGCATTTTCTAATTTCTCCCTTCTCCAGATTTACTGCACAAGCCAATCATCTCTCTCTCCATCCCTCACTTCTGAGCTGCATACATACTGAACTGTAGACACTCGTCTAATTGTGAACAGGTTAGGTTTAGAATGGCAGTTCTTAGTCTGTGTGTCGATAAGCCTACAGTGACTAAAAGCAGTTCAACTCTCACCTCTTCAGACAAGCCTTTGCCTTTTCCCTTTTTTTTTTTGGTGGGACTGGGAATTGAACCAGGGGTGCTCTACCACTGAGCTACAGCTGTAACCCTTTTTAAAAATATTGACTTTGAGCTGGGAGCTGGTGTGGTGACACGCCTGTAATCCCAGTGGTTTGGGAGGCTGAGACAGAAGTTCAAAGCCAGCTTCAGCAACTTAGGGAGGCCCTAAGCAATTTAGCAAACCCCTGTCTCAAACTAAAAATTAAAAAGGGCTGGGGAATGTGGCTCAGTTGTTAAGCACCCCTAAGTTCAATCCCTGTACCCCTGCCCCCCACAATTTTTTTTTTTTAAAGAGAGAGAGAGAGAGAGAATTTTAATATTTATTTTTTAGTTTTCGGCAGACACAACATCTTTGTTTTGTATGTGGTGCTGAGGATCGAACCCGGGCCGCACGCATGCCAGGCGAGCGCGCTACCGCTTGAGCCACATCCCCAGCCCGCACAATTTTTTTTTAATTTTGATTTTGAGGCAGGGTCTCTCTAAGTTGCCCAGGCTGGCCTCAAATTTGTGATCCTCCTGCCTCAGCCTCCCCAGTCACTAGGGTTTCAGGTGTGCATCACTGCACCCAACAGTCAAGCCTTTTCTGACCAGCCTTCCAACAATAGCAGATACCGTCAGTTCCCTCGCTCTATCCTTCCCTGCTTTACTTTTCTCCATAGAACTTTACATTATTTGACATCATTTATTTTGGCTATATATTTATTATCCTCTCTCTGTTTTTTTTTTTTTTTTTTAATCTCTAGGAGGGCATGGATCTTGCCCAACCTTGGAGCTTAATAAATGTTTTTTTAAATGAATGTGTGAATCAGGGCCTAAGGTTCCGTTCTCAAAGGCTTTTCTACTCATAAGCAAGTTTGTATTCTTTGAATTGTTAACAACCTCTGTACAAGTAGGAGTCTACACTGGAAAATCTGCCTCCTAATGATCCCTGTGGGTTTAGTGGAGAATTACTTGACATTGAAGATTTTCATAGACACCAACTCCTGCTCACTTTGATGTTATAAAAATCAAAATAGGTCTTAAAGCCAAAAAGCCATCCTTGGTCAAACCACCAGTGGCTGTTTTGCTAGGTCTTGTCAAACTCTGAACTTCAAAAAACTCTAGGCATCCAACCTTGGTGCTGAGTCTTAGGCATAGGTAGCTTTTCCATCTCCCATGTGGCTTTTCCTCATTGCTTGCAGGTTGCTCTTGATGGTAGACGTGTTCCTTCAGTTGCCTGTTTCCTCCATTCTTCAGCATCATTCCTAATCCTCCCGTAGGCAGCTGCAGCTTTTGAGATTTTCCCACCACTTTCACATTATCATTGCTATTTGTGCTTCTGTAATTTGCCTTTTCCTTTCAACTCTGCTTTTGTGTTTTCTGGGTGTCATAGGGTTAACAATCTTCATTAAATACCTCAAAAGCTGAGCACAGATCTACCAAGTAACTCATGTCGATGGATAAGGACATGCATTTTGCTCTGGAGGATGTCTTTGAACATACTGGCCA